GTGTGTTTGTGTGTGTGTTAGCAGAAAGAGAGAGATAGATAGATAGAGAGAGAGAGAGAACGAGAGAAAAAAAAGAGGGAGAGAGAGAGAAAGAGAGAGAGAGAAAGAGAGAGAGAGAGAGAGAGAGAGAGAGAGAGAGAGAGAGAATTGTGCATCACTAAAAAAAAAAAACTTTTAAAAATCTCGGATTGTCGCTTCACTCCTAGATCTAACTCTTTGCAAGTTTTAAAATACATTTAAAACGTTCTATGAATACTCATAATCAACACTTTTGTAACCCACATATTTATCGTTGGAAAACACATTGTCCTCCTCATCCCCGTTGTTCTTCCGGTCCGCAAACACTTCAGGCGGGGAACAGTCGTAGTCAAATATGACGCAATCGTGTGTCACAGCAGATCGGAAATTGCGCAGGATCTTTAGGGGAACGCTACGAAAAGCACGAACAAGGTATTCGTCTCGCTGTTTCTTCCTAACCTCTCTAATTCCCGAATGTTTGAGAGCGTGCAAAGACAATTGCGTGAAGCGCTGGGCTGTCAGCTGTGTGTACTCTCTCAGAGAACGCACTGGATAATCCTGGTACTCGTTCAGAAATCCTCGTATTTTAAAGAGTTTCCAAACTCGTTTTAAAACTGAGTCCAGAACAATCTCGTCAGTGATGCCGAACTTCTTTAACGCAAGGAAGGTTCTTTTACAAACATCAGAGACGATACTAATCTCGTTGTTTCCCTCGATATCCCCCATACGCTCGAGTATCTGTGACTGGTTCAGGAATTTGAGAATAAACTCGGTATCATTGTTGAAAGTTTCCATCTTCCCGATGAAGTCAAAATGGACGCCGCAAGGTTTACATATTTGGGAGCTTGGTGTGAAGTGGACGTCGACCTTATCGTGGCCGTGGGTGTAAAAACCCAGGGAGTACTGCAGGCTCTCAGCAAATGTCACATTGAGACGATTGAGGAGCCAGTCTCTTGTCACAGGGTCCAGCGTACCGTTAAAACTGCTGGGTCTGCCATTCGAACCCCGAATTGTTTCTGCGATGGGCATCGTCTCGAAAGAAAACACGAAGAGCTTGTCGCAATAACCCGAGAAAGCTCTGCGGTAGGGATCTCTCGTGAACATGAACTTGATGGAGGAGAGAAGGGCAGTCTGGTAGTGTCGGGCGGGTTGCTGATTCAGTGACAGAGTGTGGACACTCTTGTGGATGTCTAGACTGGAGAGTTCTAGAGGAGAGACATCCTGGGAGGCGGTGCGAGTGGGCGGTGGGGGTGGCAGGAGGTGGAGC